TGCTCATGTGAGATCTCCGGGTTGATATTGGGTATACGCCAGAACGCAGGCTTCTCCTCAGTGGAGTAAAAGGATATCATAAGTGAACCTGAAACCATCCATCACACTAGCTGATGCGGCCTATGGTACAGCAAACCAAAAAGCATGCCACCTTACCCTCAGAGAGCAAGGCAGCCCTCATACGGCATGCTACAGTGAATAGCTCCTTAGACAGAGCACTCGGGCCCTCCTTCATAAATCTATCTCTGAGGTCATAGGGTACCCACCAGAAACATGTACCTAAATCCATACCATCCCTCGTTCACACCACCTGAGGTCCTACATGCCGACGTTGGCTGGAAAGCCAAATGGAAGGCATTGTCATTAGCACCTTCAACATCATTGGGCATCTGAGGAGGGGCCTTCCAACCCACCCTACTCGACGGCTGCGTTCGCACCTTCTCAATGATCGGTTCCTCATACTTCAGCTGTGCCTCGTCGAACTGCTTCCGCACAGGGAAGCTCGTCAACATAGCCGCGAACTCCTGCGTGTGTGTATACCTCAGGATTCACAAAAGGAGTGGTATAAACATCCTGCTCCTGGCCTGATCCTACACCAGTCTGACCCTGTTAGCCATACCACAATCTCCCATCTTCTTCCAGAGGATCCATGCCTTGAATGCATCAGCCTTACGTCCCGACATGGACGAGCAATACACCGTGTCTAACGGGCTCAAACACGGAAATGCCTGAGCATGGAATCGAACCCGCATCCTCCTTGTGAGAACCACCTCTGGTGCATGCTGTTCCTCATGAGCAGCTTTCAAACAACCAGAATGCCTACACAGTAGAGCACTGCACTGTAGAGGCACTCCTAACAACTTATGCAAATTCCAGGAAATCGAATCAGCCTGGTCCATGCCACCTGACACCACCATCCTTCTCATACCATCCATTGAGCAACTCCTACGTGTTAGACTATCATAGGGTTCTTCCCCTCTAGCTAAGAGGAATGATGCTCCCAAGGCACCATCCACATGTAGCCAGCATCCATACCTAACATTAAAACCTCCACAAAGCCCTCCAACATGATAGCCTACTTCTTCGCAATCCCAGCCAGAGCACTGCAGTCATCGAAGGCTCCTGCTACCGTACTACCAGCGGTTGCATTAACAAAGAAAGGCGTGTTGCCTTTCTCAATCTGACCACCAAATTCACAGCGGAGCGAAGCTTATCCATTGTTCCTTTTACCTCATCATTGATGCAGTTTTCGAGTTCAGATGGTATCATTTGGCAGGTTTCAGGATCACATTTAACGTAAACCAGACTCTTCCTACCAAGACCTGAGGGGAACAATCCCACGTAAGATGCTCCTCTAGCCGCCGCTCAGCCACGAATCTTCCCTGTGCGCACTTTCCAATGACCAACTGTACGACCTTGGGAATAGGGGACTTACCGAGCATCATGCATCCTCTCTCCATAGAGCAATGAGAGTTGGCCGATGTGAAGACCATCAATCTACCCCTAGGATGTCCTAAGCCAGACAATGTGACCAAACATATGATAACGCCACGCACCTGCTCCCATGAGGCCCTCGTCGATCGTATCAGGGAACAGCTGCTGCCTAGCCACATGCAAGGCTGTGATATTACAGTGAGAAGCACCGGGTAGGAGCATACCATCGAACTGAAGCACTTATCACCAGTGCACTACCAACCAGCCTTCCTGCCTACCTGCCCATTCGCCCTATCACTCAAACCAGAGGCCAGACGCGTCAGTGTCGCACCATGACCTAACGAGTACACATCTCCAAAGGGCGTCAAGCAGAGTCTACCTGGTTCCAATGTAGAAGAGGATCGTCTTGTGTTGACGGGACTATGCTCATACCATCCCAAGAACGATGCCATGTGCTGTAACAGCCTGTGTTCCATAAGTAGCATCACCGGCGCCATCTCAAAGGTATACCTGATCACCACCAGCTTGCACCAAGACATGCCCCACCCAGACAGTGTCACTACATATTAACATTGAGTGCAGCAGTTAGGCCTTCAGCAGCAACTGCTAAGGGATCAGGTCGAGCAAAGAGCTGATTGAAGAAGAACAAATGACCGGTGTTGACCTGACCAACAGCAACAACGACCTCCACCCCAGGCATTTGAGGGGTGATAGCCTACAGAGAGGTCGCATGTAAAATCAACCGCTCGCTTGAGGCAATCATCATCCATAGGTGGACACTCCTCCTCGAACGCGATTGGACATGATACCGATGCAAAAGCCGATTCTATATCCTGCTTGCCTCGAGCCTATACTCAACATAGAACATTTCAGTGAGCCGCCAGCCTACCGAGACCACTGGAATTGGAGGATTGTCGTCGGAGCAGCAGTCTTCTTGGGCAGCAATATACCTATACCAAAAACCATCGTCAAGGCATTCACCTCCTCATCAAGGCTCACTTCCGAGTCCTCTCCATAACCGCTTCATGTAGAGGTTGCATACAGACATCCTTGGGCAGACACGCCACACTGCGTATCTCCTTAGACATAGTATCGATAATTTTACATTGGTTATACGCTGGAATCTTAGTATGAAGAAAAGTCAATCCATTGCTAATCAATAGAGCCCCACGTAGCAGTGCAAGGATACGCCCAAGCCGTCGCCTGAGTTCTCAATAGCATGCCATCCGAGACTGTTGTCGATCCATGCTGCCGTCCTAGTGTACAAGAGATATCTCCCTGTAGAGTATCATTACTCAACACCTTATTGGTATTAAAGTTCTCGCGATAAGCTCCTGCCTTGCCTCCTTTGGTCCTTCCTCGTCAACCTTATACCTCTCCTCGTACAAATCACCCTAGAAAGACATAAGATTATCATTATCTCAGCAGCGAGCATCCAACCACCCTACTACCTGCAAGGGCATCAGGAAGCACCGCTCACATGGATGATTATGAATTGGGCTCCTCGACCTAGGCGACCAAGTGAGCACCTGAGTAACGGCATTTACGCTCTAGTTTATACCATCCCTCGGAGAAATCTACCAGTAACTGAAATAGGTCCGTCCTGTGCCTGACTTTGACCCTAGAGTAACCGCACACGTGGAAACCGTGTTGACTTGGACAAGATTGATGGATGATCTGCAGGAAGTGACGAAGGTGTGGTACGTACTATTATTACCCAGTCGTTGCCCTTATATCTCTCTAACACTTTCTTAGCCTTCTCCAAACGGCTCGGGTCGGTCCGATTGTGCAACACGCGTGTGAGCTAAACGGCAAAGCAAAGAGCTGCCACCCGAGCAACCGGAAATCCGCTCCATCATCGATAAGTAAATAGAGTAGGCCTACTGCCATACCTCATTCTCTAGCACTTCCAGACATACAATGGGGGGCGTGCAGTCTGGGTCTACGCGGGTGGGAATTTGCTGCTCGCTGCCGTTGACACCATTCGGAATGACCTAACGCGTTCATGTATACCGAAACATAGTATGGGTTGTTACGGTTACTACCTTTTGGAATTCGGGAGCGGCGATTTCAGCGGTTAGATTTCTGCCAGCAGCGGGAGAGTTTACAGGCATCGCAATAATGCGAAAAAAGACTAAATAACCGGAAAAATGTACATACCATGACTTAGCATTATCGTCTTCCCCTGCGGAACATATGGAAGCAACAACTACAGCACTGAGTTGATCGCTACAGCGTCACTCAGTTATCCATCACAGAATTCCAAAACTGTTGAACGCGCCTGCCTCACTCGTCTAGTGTCAGCGAGGTTGATGATGTATGTCGCATTCTGCGATATCTTGAGAGGCCGACTTGTGCAATCAACGTCGGTATGGGAGAATATGCATATGGTCATCTACATGCGTAGGTCACATCTGTGGAAGTTCTCATGAAAATGGAGCGAAGTCCCAATAGCTCCTATACAGTTCTATCCGAATTTGTACTTAAACTTCTAATTAGTGAGAAAACTTCTAAACTCAGCTGGGGAAAGCGAACATTCCAACACTGGCAATCGTTATCGGAAATACAGCTGGCAGCATCGATTGTTGAATTGTAGACTTGGGTTAGTGTATACTAATCTAACATCACACCGAAGATTGCCACATCCATGTCTAGATACACCTCTATGCATACAACAATGCTGGGAACATGTTCACACTGCAGAAACTCTGAGGACTTTTATTGAAACGAGATTTTTCACATAACATGATACGTCTACTCATATTTAACAACAAATCGTCATAATCTTTCTCATTCAGCAAACGAGGTCTACTTGGAAGCGATCAGACTTCTTGTCGGCCTCTGCGTCATTCGATTGGATCGGTCTTTGGGACAACGGCGGTAGTGCTATAACGGCTCACTCAGCCAACTCGAGATCTAAAGCCAGTGATCACAAACCTTGGATCTGCACTGCTGCCCAGACGTTAAGTTTCAGAATTGAGCTGGTGTAGAATGTCACGCCAATCGTTTAAGGGCGAGCGCTACTTTCTCACACGAAACAGCAAGATGTGCGAGTAATGCCCCCCATCATTCGCACGATTGGTAAGTTAAGCTGTGACCACAGCTTCATGAAGCCACGATAGCGGGATGGCTTTCTTCTTAGACGCTTCGACCGCCTACTACCCATGATGCGTAGGCTCGCCGCTCACTTGCCAACGGTCTTGCTTTCCTCGGGCTGACCTGCCACAACAAACACGTTAAAACTGGGGCTATCCAGACATTCACTACCATTCTCGATCATAAGTTTTTGTTTTTCCGCAAACAACGTCGTGACGATGTTGTTTACCTCGCCATGCCCTGCCAAAAAACAACCGAGAGATCTTCGCATATCACACAAGTTGTGTGACACAACACATTGCGCAGATTGCATAGAGCCTCTATTATAGAGGTTTCATGGAAGAGCTACGTTTGGGTGAGCTTGCACCGCCTGTGAATGCGGTGCCGCCCTTCCTTAGGTGGGATGCGACCATCCTTAGACTTTGCAGACCTCCTTAGAAATCTTTGCGTTATCCTTGGATTTTTGCGGCTTCCTTGGGAAAAGCAGACCTCCTTAGAAAACTTACACTCTCCTTAGATTTTTGCGGTACACCCATTCTCCCCCCCACAGGCCTTGGCGCCTCAACATGGCGTGGGGGGTGACCGGTTCGGTATAGCCGGTGCCAATCCTTGACCACCTCTACCTATACTCGCACATCCCTCAGCGGGTGCCTTGGAGTATAGTGGGGTTTCTCTCCGTTGATGCCTGTTCAGCTAATTACTAGCATTTTATTCTATGGGCTGATACTATGTGTATCTATCTTACCCTTTTGTTATATCTTATGCCACATCGTCCCCCCTCACGATTCTGTCCCACAATATTCCTGCTTCACCGTCTGCTCGTCGACGATTGCTTTCACATATGATCTGGCTTTTGTCGAGGATCGGCCTTTCTTCCTACTGAGTTACGTCGTACGTGATACTATGTGATACAAAATGGATGCCTTATGGTCCATAAGACTTATGGCATAAGTTATGGACTGTTTCGATGAATAATAACTCCATAAATTGGTGTACAGTTTAATATATCCGTTGATATTCAGTTTACGTATATCTAATAATACGCTGTCGAGTCGTGTTCTCATTCCGTCTATAGTTTCAGGTACTACATCATGCGGGATCAGCATCGTGGCGAGAAGTGAGATGTGGTCAGAGCGCTGCATGGCATGCAGTGCATATTTTATTCTGTCCCGTACTGTCGGCCGAATATCGTTTGCGTAGGCTTGAGGTTCTCATGGATGACTCGCCATAGACATTATGCACATATCCTTGATGCACCCGCTCTCCTCGCATTCCCAGGTACTCGATTATAACTCAACCAAATGACTAACACCAGGGGCGTTACTCCAACAACCGAACATGCACATCAGCGTGATAGTAAATAGCGCAAGCCCATCATGGAACATCTCCAAGACGTTAAAGTGACCTGACATTCGGATACAGGCTCATCCCGTGACGCC